TTAGGGAATTTTTCCTTGCCACCGTTGCCTTTGGCTTACTCAATGGGGGGTCCTTACGAGGCAGAAATGTAAAGCGCATTGAGACAATGTAATGTTGTGATAAAGCGCTATATAAATAAGATTGAATTGAATTGAATTGAATTGAATGTTTAAGCTCACGGGCCGGGCGAGAGGGATATGCTGCCAAAGTGAGCACAGGACTGAGCAGTGGGCTGCAGGGGGCAGCACTGAGCAGGGGGCAGCACTGAGCAGGGGGCTGCAGGGGGCAGCACTGAGCAGGGGGCAGCACTGAGCAGGGGGCTACAGGGGGCAGCACTGAGCAGGGGGCTGCAGGGGGCAGCACTGAGCAGGGGGCTACAGGGGGCAGCATTGAGCAGGGGGCAGTGTGTGGGCTAAGCCTGTAATCTGAAGGTCGCCGGTCCAAACCCAGCCTCAGCTTGTCTGCGGGTCCTTGAGCAAGGCCCTTAACCCCCAGCTCCCTGGGCGCTGCTGTGGGTGGCTGCCCTTCGCGGACAGCTTACGCCACAAAAAAGAAGAGGAAGTTGAGGGAGGTGTAAACACAGTTTCCCCACAGGAATCAATAAAGCATTGATTATGTTTACCCCAAGCGGCAGGAGACTGCACAGATCCAGGTGTGCCAGTCTGTCCTTGAGCACTGAACCCTTTAAGAACAGGAGTCATCTTTGTGGATCGTTACAGAGCTCAGTCTGAAGCTGAAGCAGCTCTGATGAAACTGGCAGGTGCAGAGCTGGCCTGTAAAGTCTCTGAATTGCAGTACTTTCACATCCTAGGATCTCATTTCCTGTATGTTTACTGTGATACTAAGTTGATGGCAGCACTGAGGCATCCATGTAAACAAGCAAATCTTTTTTTCTGACTATAGAAATATACTGTTTTGCCATGAACGCTTACTGGAATCAGGAGACCACCAACTCCGTAATTTATCCATCCTATTTCATCTATTCTGTGCTTGTTTACACCAACTGATTTTAAATTGCCTCCTTTCATTTAGCTATGTTAATCAGTGATAACTCCGGCACAGAACTTGGCTAATGACTCTGGCTAATGTGGACTCTGCAGCATTACTGCTGGTGCCCTGGTTCTGCTGTCCAGTTCTATGTGACTATGGTTACTGTGGACACTGCAGCATTACTGATGGTCCCTGGTTCTGCTGTCCAGTTCTATGTGACTATGGTTACTGTGGACACTGCAGCATTACTGATGGTCCCTGGTTCTGCTGTCCAGTTCTATGTGACTCTGGTTAATGT